GGAAGTAGGAAGTATACTTTCACAGGAAGTAAACACAGGGGGACTGACAGACTAAGAAGCAACCTTGATGAAGGATTTCTGGGAGGTCACATTGTCAACCGACCTTGATGACAGAAACCTCAGCAAGTACCCTAGGCTTCTGCGATTCAGAGTTTATATAAGGATTAACGCTATAGTCTATTGGAGGAAAAGACAAGTGGATCCAGGGGACTTTATTCACTGCAGGGACCAGGATTCCAGACACTGACATTACTTCCCCCTTTCAAAGGACTGCCGCCAAGGAATAGACATGGTTCCGTGGAGAATTCAGTTTGGTCCTTCGTACTATTGCGTATCAGATGACGGTACACAAGACACTGACGTAATGCAAACAAGGTTCGTTAAATGAATGCAGGGATTGACATAGCAATGATGATGGAATGGAACAGTGATGTTAAGTTCCGCAGTTCTGTGCATATTGTGTTTTTATAACCACAGTTTTTGGTTCGGTTTGGTTCGAGTGAATCATTCTTAGTATGGATCTCAAGAACAGATAATACGGTCCTTGTCATATTTATCAGCAAAGGTGAAATATCTACCATAGGTTTAAAAACATTGACACCGTCTTCTCAAAGTGCGGACAATTGCTCCACTGACCAATTGAAACACATGAAGTCCCACCCTCCTCTAACTTTAGGGCTTGTTGAAAATTTAGACAAAGGAGCAGTTCATTGATTGGATATTTGCTCTCGGAAAAGCATTACTTTCTTATCTGCCTTTCCACATCCAAAACATGGTTCGAGGGTAGTTCTGTAAAAAGAATGGTTCGGTATAAAACAAAGTATTGTTGCATGCCTAGTAAATACTGACATAGACCACATAGAAACCTTGATGAAGGAACTCTGGGAAGTCTAAGTATAGACGGAGTATTCTTATTGACCAACCAACCTTGACGACAGAAACTTTGAGGAAGGACCCAGGCTTCTGTGAGTTGGATTTTATTTAGGTTTAAATCCTGAAGGCAACTGGAGGAAAAGGCAAGTGGATCCAGGATTGCGGACACTGCCAGTGACGTTGTTGTATAAATATTTTGATGCGACAACAAAATGGCAACTTCTAAAATTGGACCAAACTTTATCTGATCATACCTTAAAGTTCAAGCTCTAACTTTGTCAAAAATAAAGTTTGGGGTATGCTAAGAGGTGAAGTCTTGCAGCAAACAGTCAGCTCTGTGCACAAAATATGCATGGCTGTTTCGAGATGTTTCATTCTGAAAATAGTGCAGAGGTTTAACGCTATTCTTTGTGTTGTAGATTAGCATGGTGTATAGGCTAATGAGGTTCAGCCGTTCCTTCTCTCCATGTGATTAAGGGTGTATGCTTGTGCTCAACTGCTCTGCATGGTGTACGATCAGACAGAATCCCTCGAAATACGGCATGCTTTCATAAAGAATGCAAAACGGAACGGACAGATTCCTCGCTTTCAGAAACTGTAATGAATTTTGCACTTGTGACAGTGTTGCTTGGCACTTCCTCTTAAGAGCAGTAATGAAACCAATTTAACTGACTCCACAAGCACGCTGAGCTTAAATTATGTGACAAGTGAGACTTATTTCATCCTTTATATGTTCAAAACAGATAGAAAAAACAGCACATAAATGAAATAAAGATTTAACCACGTTTGGATGGGGAACTCTTGAGGCATTAATAATTAAATCAAAAGAGATGGAGATAAAATATGCGGAATGGAAAAAAGGGGCTGAGAAGGAATCTTTACTGAGTTATTAAACCCCATAGTTGATATTGCAGTATTAAATATTGAGATAGCAACTTATTTTCAGTGGCAGAGAAAATGTTTGATCCCAAGATAAAACTCGGTGGGATTTGGATTTTTGGGGATTTGTTTTTTTTTTTTTTTACCGCATTCAAATAAAGCTCCAAGATAGCACAGAGGATAAAAGGATCATGGAAATTTCTTTAACATCCCTTTCTACCATCTTCCATGGTATAAAAACAATAATGATTTGTACTTTTTTTTAAAATTAGGAACATATACAGAAAAAAACAATTGCAGAACTTTGAGATTATTTTGAAGCAAACTGGCCATCACATACTTTATTCAGTTCAGATTTCTCACCTCAATGCTCCAAAGACTAGAAAAAAATTGTATAAACACGTAATCACTGAGAAATATTAAGCAATATATAGGTAGCGTATTTATAATAATCAAAAGTAGTTGAGTCATATTTATCTTTTCAATTTAAACTTTCCATAAGAATCAAAACTAAAACTTTTTATTGTGAAGGCTGAAATCACAAACCGGCACTATCAGGTATAAAAGCCAGGCCAAATCCTACACCCTCTTCTTGTGAAGCTCATGAGCCAGTCCCACACCACCAATGCATTCTACTCACTCTTAAACTGGGTAAATACTCTGCGTCAAACATTTTGTGTTGCTCACTGCATAACCGGCCTGTGATAGCACATCATGTACACTAGAAGGCAGTGTAGTTTCTATGTTATGCTTCATCTCTTCTTCACTCAAATTTTGATTTGTTGCCATAAACAACACCAACGACTGGCACTTACGAACTACCTATAAAAAAAACTTCTGAAGCACTGAATTTATTCTGTATCAGCTCAAACGTCTTCCATGTGTGTCTTATTAATCATAACTGACCTCGTAACAAACTGCTTATGTTTACTCCCGAACTGTAAGTCGCTTTGGATAAAAGTAAAGATAAGTAAATTGTTGTGGAAAAATAGTTCTTGTCACACAAATCACTCAAACTTCAATCAGGGATGGAGAAATGTTGTGTTCACTCTTCTTCTTCTTTCTCGTGGTTACGGAGGAGACGAACAGATATGATGCTCCTCCCATGGTGCAACACAAAAACGCTCAACTACTAAACTGACCAATCACAGATCCTACGGTCTTGTCTACATGCATAAAGTTACAACTTTTGGTAACTTTAGTTTAAAGCCAAGATTCTTGTTGGGGAAGGATGTTTCCTGTTTTTTTTTTAACAAAAGACGAATACAGATCATCAGAATGGGTGTGCAGAGACCATAAGAGACCAAACATGCTACTAATAGTCATGAATAAAAATGATCTGCATCTACTACAACTGACACAGTCGTCCATGGCGACACTGAAGAGGTGACCTGTTTGTATGGTTCAGTCTTATGGAAGAATTCATGCCTGGTTCAACCCCAGATTGTTCCCCTAGAACCACCCACAATAGTTCATAGCTCTGTTCCCTCAGACACTGGACTGAGGGAAGAGGCAGGTAGCAGGTTTTTCAGTGAAAAGGTGAGTATGCTTTATTGCACCACTCGTGGTTATACAAACAAAACCATAAACAAACAAAGAAAATAATGAAAAAACCCTTAAACAAAACACTGAGTTTAAAAAACAGAATGCAACAGCGCTCAAGAGCTCTCAAGAGCATGAACTCACCTGACCTTCTTGCCAGGCTTATTTTAAAAAATAGCATCCTCGATCTCTAAACCAATCGTAAGGCAACACATCATAATAAAACTAAATTATCTAATTAACTCTTGGAATAACCTAACACTTACAATCCAACTCAATCAATACATAAATCATACAGAAATCCATAACAAATTACAATACATGAAACCGAAAAATACAACAAAACTGGCACAGGAGCTCCCAATACAACCAAATCACTAACTCAAAGACAACATAATAAAATCAAAGCAAAGGGGTGATGACGTGATCCCAAGCTCTAATACTGTATTCAGTCACCATGCATAAGCTACACCAGCATATAAATCATTCTGAATATATTCACAAATAAATATAGGTTTATATTTATATAAATATAGGTAAATATTGCGTTTTAACAGTAGGTAGATTTTTTGATGATTCATTCATTCATTTCACACTGACACATTGGTGATGATAAATCTACCTTGGTAGCCCTCAGCTGTCCTGGGGCAGTCTGACAGGAAGTGGCTGCAATTTCACACCTATGTCCTCATGCACCCCACCAAATACACCACACTAGTCACACAACATCTGTTTATACTATATTATCTGTTTATGTTTATATTATTATATCATCTGTTTATACTATATTATCCGTTCATACTACCATATCATCTGTTTATACCATAGTTTATCACACTACTGTTGTTACCCAAATGAGGATGGCTTTCCCTTTTGAGTCCGGTTCCTCTCAAGGTTTCTTCCAAAAGGGAGTTTTTCCTTGCCACAGTCGCCCCAGGCTTGCTCATCAGGGACATATACACCACTTAGTAATTAATTTCTTTTCACTTTGTTGAGTTTAAACTTGTTGGTTTACTGTAAAGCTGCTTTGAGACAATGTCTGTTGTGAAAAGCGCTATATAAATTAAAATTAAATGAACACACATCCATAAAGGGCAATGCTATTGGCTTACTAAGGCCACAGTGGCAGAATGGACCTGGCAGGCATCGAACCACCAACGCTCCAGTAAGGGACAACCAACTCCATCATTACACCACTTGCAGCCCCATAGTAAATCTCCACCATCATTCCTCCAACCGGTAGCATTATCCTGCCATAGTGACTATCCAAAACACTGCATGATCAATTCGGGATAAAGCCACTATGCCTTATAGCGATGAAGGGGTAAGGAGCTTAAACACCCTCGGTGTGAGGCGTGCCTCCTAAATTTTCATGAGTTCTTCATGCACTTCCAAAAAAAATTGGGGAACAATGGGGACAGGGGCCATGTTCACACAAACCACTTGTCCAAACTTGAGGGAGCAGGATTAGAAAACAGAGGCATCTCCAATCCGATCTAGTCATGAGCCAGGATAGTATTACAATAACCACTTTATCAAGGTTTTTACAAGACTCAACACTGCTGGGCAGGAGTCAAGCACCCATTGACAACCACACACTCTCCAATGCAGCAATGGACAGAAGACATCATCTTTACCTTTGCCTTTTGTGCACTTAGTAGACACTTTTAACATTTGAATGAATGAACACATTTTTTGTCAGTTCTTGCTTTCCCTGGGATTTGAACACACTATCTTTGTGTTGTTAGCATAATGCTCTTCCAACTGAGACAGAGGAAAGCCTAAGATCCTGTAGTATGTTATAGGGCAGAGAGTTGCAGTGCATGCACCTCAGTTCCAAACGCTTGATACAATGCCATGATCCCATTGTATGTAGGAGAAAACAAGTTCTAGCCATGTTGAAGAGGTCTTCACAAAAAAAACAACAAATTGCTCTCTCTACTACAGAGGGATTTTGCTTAGATTTTTTTACTTTCTGGGGTGGTACAGCAGTTCACCTATTTAAGCTAGGCTGGGTTGGAGGGCTGTGAGTTGTCCCACTTCCAGCAACACATGTCAATACTCATCTTTTCTGGATCCAATTCTTTCATGCAAGTGAGTAATATAGATATTTACATACTGTATGGGTTTGTGACATTAACAAGTGAGAAAAAAGGGGAAAAAAAAGAAGTGAGTCCTTATGGGTCAAATCTGAGATAAGATATGAGATTTCCCAAAACTATAACAGGCTGTGTTTTATCCTTGGAGAAAAGACATGAATCATATGCCACAGGCTAAATGTGTTTGCACGCAGCCTAACATGCAGGGTTCAGTGACTCCGCATGCCACTGAAGATACAAGCTGGACTCATTAAGAATAGAGAGCAGAACCTTTGCACTTACAGCGAGTTGGACGTTCTCTGACCAAACAAGCACTATGCTAATAGCTCACTATCTGAGAATACACAATTAAAGAAAAACGTTTATTATTCTCTGTGCTATTATCTTGACGGCAAGTGTTGCATACAGATTTATTGCCTAATCAAGTGGTTTCAACTATTCAAGTGAATATGACCCCAGTCTGTCAATCTGCTTCATATATTCAATGATCTGTACCTGTTTATTAATAAAACTACTAGTATGTTCGTAAATCTGTCTATAGTAAAGAAATAGTTAATCTGTATCTACAAAGACATCAATAACCTGACACTACCTTTTTTAGCAAAAAAAAAAAAAAAAAAAAACATTCTGGAGGTTTTAAATTACAATTGTCAAATTGACCCCAGTGTATAAATGTGTTTGTGGACTTTAGGGTATTTAAATATTCATACAAAATTAATTATTCATACAACATTCTGAATGGGAGAGTGTCTAATGCTGTCGACATTCTAAGTTCTAACACCTCAGACATATAGAAAGTTGTGACAAGGTGTAATTAAAAAAAAAAAAAAAAACATTTTTAAGGAGTACCAATATCAAAGGACTATTTAAATAAAGACGCAGATAGGGTTTAAATATCAGCCAATCCCTAAAGATGTATTTGTTCCAAGGCCTCTGTATCAGAGAGTTTAAGAAACTTCATGTTACATCATGAAGATCAGGAAAAAGTAAGTTTTATCTTCTTAATAACTAAACAAAATGATTATGCTATTCAGCAATTCCACAACATACAAAAGAAATATATGTTTTAATTATACTGTGTTATTTAATTAAACCATTGTTCAAACGATGCTGTCCTTTTGTAACTTTCAATTTTAAAGTCAGCCAAAGTTGGTTGTTTTGAACTAAGTAGAGATGTTGGAACCCAGCGATTGTTTAATCGCTCAAGTTCAAATATAATGTGTAGGATTCAAAAAGTTTATTTGTTGTAATATTTATGGTTTTAAATGGATACTACAAGAGATATGAGATAATTTGTAAGGTAATTCAAATTAAAATGTGTAAAAAAGCGTGATAGTCTTTTAGTCAATTTTACAGACCCTAAATCAGTGCCATCTAGTGGTAAAAAGAAGGGATTACCCTTAAAAGTACAATATCTGTGATATGGCTTGTGTTTTTCAAAGTTCTGGCACAAAAAAACAGGTAATATTATCCAAAGGTTTTTGCACAATTTTGTACACGCGTAAAACTGCTACACAACCATTTTAATGTTCAATGTTTTTAACCTCTGTGAAGCATGTGTTATATGAAAAAACTTGTCTTTCCTAAAAGTGTTGCACTGCAAGATTGCAAAAAACCTTTATTGATCAAAAGCAGAAAATGAAGTTGATACAGTACAATGTTTTATGTTAGTGAGATTTCTGTTTCCTGTAACCAAGCTGACACTTCCAAGCTAAACCACAAAAGATACACTTGTGTTATTTACATATTGCTTACCATTTCTTTTGTGATCTCTTTCAGCCCTTGTTTCAACTCCCAAAGATTCCAGATATAATTGCATATCAATTTATACTTCTGAAAAAATGTTGTATAAAGAATGTTCACACGTTGAAAAAAAAAACAAAAACATCAGCATCTGCCGAAAGCAAGAAAACACAACAAGCAAGAGAATTCATGTTAATGTGTTCATATTACATTGTCCAAGATTTAAGAACTCCACAGCAAGACATGAAATCCCAGAGCTAATTAGATGCTAGCTGCTCTAACCTCCAGCACAGAGCTGCCTGAACAAACACCTGTGCTGGATCAATTAAAACTCCTCCATTAATGGAGCACAGCTAGCCAAACTTCATTAAAGAAATGCATCATCTGTGTTTCCAGGTGTAAACATGTAAAAGTATTCTGACTCCCTAACTTAAAAGAATATTTCTGCAAGAAAGGAAAATTCTGCTATGAATTATACACCCATGTATTTCATTATTCGCTGTGTTTACGTTAACAAAGGATGAGCTATTGATTCCAAACCCCCACAAAAGCTTAAAAAGTAAAATGAAATCAATTTTGACTCTAGTTGATTCAGCTCATTTTTTCTTTGTTTTATTCAATCCAGTAATAGGAAGTATTGGAAAGGAAACTGTGTTGGGCATTTTTCAAGCTGTCTTCAAAATGGTAATTTGGAGTAAGCTGTTGAGTGAATCTTCAGGATTAAGCATTAATTGATTTGATTGGCCACAGTTTTGAATATTCATACAGAGAGCTTGAGCAGAACATATCTGACTAAATGGTGGCATGTGGGCGGCACGGTGGTGCAGTGGGTAGCACTGTGGTCTTCCAGTTAGACGGTTGTCGGTTCGCGGCTCGTCTGTGTCCTTCCTGGTTCTCCCTGTGATAGCGTGGGTTTTCTCTGGGTACTTTGGATTCTCCCACAATCCTTTGAACATGCGTTTAGGTTCATTGAATAATCTAAATTCTCGCCCAATATGTGCTGGAGATAGGCTCTGGCAAACCCCAGTGACCCCAAAAAAGGGAATAAGCAGGTTGGAAAATGAATGAATGGTGGCATGTGTATATGTTTGAGTAACAGTTTGTCTACTTTGAGAATACAGTTTTGTAGTGTGGTGTGGGTAGGGTGGCCAGGTGTGGGTAATTTGCGTGCACCAATGCAATTTCATGGCACAAATATTTAAACCACGACAGTGGTGGTCAGGTTATGGTTTGGGCTTAGACTGCTCAAACTGGAGGCTGGTTGACTCAAACTGCTCTTTTAATGCATCACCTTTAGAAAACTAGCCATTATTTGTGTTGGTAAAACTGTGATTTCTGAAATCTTTTGCCCATTAACCAGTCATGCAAGAGTATTTCTAAAATCATAGCAATACAATATTATAGTAATTTGTAAATAATTCCATTTGTTTATATTTTATGAATATTTTTATTGTTTACTTGTGTAACCTTGTGTAAACAAAGCTTGCAAGAATGGAACAAAGTGCTTGCACAAGTGTATAAGGTTTAGGAGAGAATGTGATTATATTATATTATATTATATTATATTATATTATATTATATTATATTATATTATATTATATTATATTATATTATATTATATTACTATTTCAGGTTTTTTGTGGAGTTATTGTGTAATATAATGAAAAAAAATTATATGTAAAATGTAATGGTCTGTTTGCGGAAAGTTTTGACCTAATGATCTGTTATGAAATGTTTGGTGTTCTTTTTGTACAAATTTAAGCTAATTGTTGCTAATAAAGCACTAAGATCAACGTATCAAAATGTCAACATTTTTATTTTAACAAATTTCATTATTATAATAAATATAATCTAACTATAATATTGCATTCTATTGTAAATATTAGATAAAATTATAAGCTGTAAACGGATATTGGAAAAAATGCTTAAAATGACATAAGTAGAGAGCTTGGTTTTGGATTTAATGCCTTTTTTATGACAATGTTTATTCAGTAAATCCTCCAGTATCTACCAGACATTTTATTTAAATATTCATATCATCTAAGCCTCTATTAATGCATCACATTTAGAAAATTAGCCATCACTTGTATCTGTAAAACTGTGTGATTTCTGAACCAATCATGCAAAAGTATTATTATAACCATAGCCATATAATAATATAGAAATTTCAAAATAATGAATTTTGTTTATTTTTTATGTTCCATTTTGGCTTCTTTTGCAGAATTTTGTCCCGAGCTTAACGTCTAGCATAGAAATTTAGCGACGCATTCTTTTTTGTGTCATCAAAGACTGTATCCCGAATTTCTGAAGATACATTCCACTCCACATTCCATTGATGTTGATGATGTCAAGGCAACAAATCCATTTTTGGATTATAAACTCAAGAGTGTGTATTTGTTAATCTGTCCCTTCAACACCTAACAAAGCACTGATTTATCTGAGGAAAGCGTGAAAAGCAAAGAGTTTTGCTTGATCTGTGATAAGTCTAGAGCAGACATCGCAGTAGCAAATTTGAAGGTGTATGTGTGTGAATGTGTCCTGATGAAAGCACATGTGAACGCACCTGTTCATTAATCAGCCGGTGCTACAGATGGCGGATGCTGACAGAAAATGCAACCTGCTATCAGCCAGTCCACGCTAATTAATCCTCCAATTCTTTGAATAACAGCAAAAAGCATAAATTAACCTGCATTAAAAGAAAAATAAAGTTGATTTGTCATCAGCATTGTTTATTTCCACTGTGCTTATCAATTAGATGCAGGGACACAAGGAAAAAAAAGTTTTAAAGCTGATTGCTCCAAGAGTTTCTTTGTAGACAGCTCCTCCTTACTGCTGTTCTTTTTTTCTGTTGTGTTTTCCAGGCTGTTTGTTATTTAATGAGATCACATTTTGTCAGTTTGTGGTTGCTGTCAGAATGAAACGAGGAGATAAGAGGGAGC